CCCTGAGGACACAGAAGCAGCTCTAAAGCCATGGAGAGATGCCTGTGACAGTGCGCTGAGGGCATATGTGAAAGATCACTATCCCAATGGCTTTTGTACTGTTAAGTACCTACCTTATTTCATTGATGGTTCTTTGCCCCATGTCTGTTAGCCCCATAGGGAGACTTTGCACTGTATTTTGGGCTCGCATGAGTGTCTGTCTTGTAGGTCCTAATTCTTGTACAGCAAAGACAAGAGGGTGCAGCGATTTTGTGTGCGCAGTCATATCGTGTAAACCAGTGGCAAAATGTTTGTTTACCGCAATCACCTGTGGGTAAATATGCACGAATGCACCTTGCAGCCCTCTCCAGGGCTAAGCTGACCAGGAAAGGGAAGTAATGTGTGTGTGCATAGACAAGGTAGCTAATGGTGTATGTGCACTGTCTGCTCTCGCTCAGCGCTGTGGTATAGCAGGATATTGAAGCTCCATCTAGTGTTCCTGGATTAGGAACTCAAAGCTGGTGGAATACACACTTGGCACTGTGATGCTTATTTTTCATTTCTTTATGAATTCAGGTTTACGGCAAGACTATAGATGGACAGCAGACAATTATTGCCTGTATTGAGAGCCACCAGTTTCAGCCCAAAAACTTCTGGTAAGAATATTTTCAAGTGTTCGTGCTGTTATGCTTAAACAAAGCACACAAGATCTTTTATAGGAGAGAAGGCAACATGCCACATTTATGGAGAATACAGCAGATAGCATATGCTTTTACGTCACACAGACACACAGACACACCCACCATGCACACAGTCCCGCCAGTCGATGTTTATAATTACCAGTCCAGAGTCTGGATCAATCTAGTGGCCAGCCAGATTGGTCGCAGAGGGAGCCGGGCTCTGTCAGTCGCGATCCGATGCTCCTGGAGTAGTGGCAAGACTAACCCAAAGCCCTATGGCAAAGCACCCTGTTCTTATAGTCCTTTTTCTCCATTGAAATCTATGGATTTTGCTGTGTCAGTTTATGACAGGTTACTCCTTAATTGGTGTTATCTTTTGATGTTAACATTCTAAAACACCTCTGAGAGGGTCATCCTGTCCCGGATTTGATTTACTCAGTTGTCTTTAGGC